CATAGTATCAGCATTATCAACAATCCTATTCCCTTCCTAACTTTGGCTTCCATTGTAATCCTAATTCAAAAAATGCTGTAAGTTCAAGTACACACTATAATTGAGCACTGAATCAATTGCTCACTAAAGACAAGCGAAGCCTCATCCGACTTTGCGTAATTTTTGAAGACGAGACATAGCACTGAACTTCTCTGTAAGAACAGAATTTGGAGAGCAGGGGACTAAGGCACATTTATGGAATTAAAAACCAATTAAATCCATTATCTCTTCAATTTTTTATTGCAGTTGCCTATGGATAGAAATTAGAGATTAGCTGCATGCGTGCTAGCTTAGTTTGGAGATTTTCTCTAATGTTTATTCATTATTTCAATGTATGTTCAGCATTAGACTCAATGGCGAGTCACATTGAGAATAAAGAATTCTTTTCATTCATGGTTGGAGATTCTCCCATCTTTGGCTGTTAAAATTAAAGCTGATTAAATGGAGATTCTAACAGCATAATCCAATGATTGGGGATCTGAAGCAGGGAGATATATCTGATTTGGATGGCAAAAAAAGGTCAAGGCATATCAATGGGATTAGATATATTATAGGAGAGTATTCCCTCTATTCAAAATAATGAATAAACATTACTACTTCCGGTCCTTAATATAAAAAACTAGTTGACTAATTTGAGTAAGTTAAAAAAACTAGTTAATTTAGTTATTTGTAATAAATAGATGTTGTCTTCCCTAAAATATTCTTGCTAATCAAGTGTATTGGCTAGAATTATTATTATTATGAAGACTATTTTGAAAAAAATGGATAAATATGAGAGACAAAGTATATTGGAGTCTTATATTTAAGACTAAAATAAAAATCAAATGAACTCTTATATTAAGTATAAAGTAGTATTTCATAATGTATGGCGGATCCTCCCCCAACAAAAAAGGATGCATTTGGATAAAATAATGTTATAGTGCAGGAAATCACCCTACTCCAGCTTTAATCCCACTTGTTGAATTTTCTCATTCTGATATTCAACCACACGAGAATCAAAGCGATTTCCTATGAAGAATTCACAATATTTCACATGCAAACTTACAAGTGGTGCCCTCACCAAATCGCCTTCCTTGGGTTTCTTTTAATATGCGATCCATTGGATTATTCCATCCTTTTATTAACTTGGTCGTGATGAAATTTATGCATGAAATTGCATTCTTTTGCTGAGACTAATACTGCAGTGAGTTATTTAAGCTACCTCAATATTTTCTCCATCCTTAGATCACATTAATGTCATTTCTTGCAAGAAGAATTTATTCTTCCACTATGTTATATCAAGGCTTAATATCATTCTTACTCACTAAAATTTAACTTTATTTTGATTTTTGATCTCTAAAATTTGAAACTAGTAATTTTGGTTCTGAAAATTTAACATTATTTTAGTTTTTTTAAGCTGATTATTATTTTAGTTCTCTCTGAAATTTGAAACCTCCAGTAATTCTGATTTCCAAAATTTGATCTCATTTTAATTTTGATCCTTGAAAAATACTATTTTATGGATTAAAAATCTTTAGATGGACTAAAATGACATCAAATTTTAAGAACCAAATCCTCTTGTTTCAAATTTCAGATACCCAAACCAAAATGAGGTGAAATTTAGGATCAAAACTACTTGTTTTAAATTTTAGAGATCACAATCAAAATCAATTAAAATTTCAGATATTAAAAATTGGGCTAAAATATAAAAACTCTCCTGAATTCCGGGTCAAATTGATAAGGATGTGACATCCTACATAACATCCAACTTCTTGCCATCTGTATGAGTTAATAATTTTATGATAATTACACACACACAGATATATATATATATATATATATTTAAAGAAGGGTTAAATTGTCATTTTGTCAATAAAAAAAAACCCCTTATTTCTTTGCAACTCCTTGCCGCAAGCCGCCGTCAAGCACAACACCACCATCCTGGCGAAGAAAATACAGCCTTTTTCCATAAAATTAGAGAAGTGAAAGGGGGGAAAAATTAGACAAATCATTGCATAACAGTCCCATCCAGAATGTTTGTTCTCTAAACCAGACAACTAGAAATTAAAATCATAAAACCAAAAATTGAAATCACACTGCAATAAATGTTGTTGTGGTAAAATCGATGAGTGATTGACTGAAATCGGGATCGAACAAAGCACAAAGACTAGACAATTGCAAATAGATAATTCAATGCTGACATGAACAATAATACGATGCAGAAACCAGTACAAGCAACCAAAGAAAACACAAACACTTTGACCAAACACTTTGAAAGTCAATGTTAATATCTGCCGAACGAGAGGTTCTTTTTAAGAATTGAAAGTTGAGTTAGGCCACAGAAATGGCATTTTAACCCTTCTATAAAAATATATATATAATTATCATAAAATTATTAACCCTTGCAGATGCTATTTTTGATTTTATGTAGGATGCCACCTCATCCTCATTAATCCAACGTTGCGGTTTTCATCTGAGAATTATTAAATATAGGGGGCTTAAGGTAAAAAATTATAACATCAAGGAGGCTAAATTTAAACTTTATAATATTGGGGAGGTACTCAAAATTCAGGAGTTTTTTTTTTTAAAAGTATTTTAGCCTAAAAGTTGTATTAACCTTGTATTACCCAAAGTTGTATAATTTGCTTCATTTTATATATAACTGGTCCTGATACACATATAGACACACATGCTACTTCCGGTTCTTAATACAAGAGCTAGTTTCACTGTCAATTTGACTTTAAATATAAGACTACAATTCATTTTGCCTCCAATATTCATTTATTTTGCTCTTAAGTAATCCCTATAGTGGATGTATATGTTAAGCACTTAATATCAATTTGTAATTCAAATGTTAATAAAAGTATTTTAGGGAAGACAACGTCTATTTATTAAAAATAACAAATGTAATTAACTTTTTTAATCTCTTCAAATTAATTAATTAGATATTATATTAATGATTAAATGTACTAATACATTTGCTATTGGGATGGTGGGCGCATTCTATTATATATGATGACAAGAAACAGGACCTACCTTACATAAAGATGACTAAGGAAGAAGAAGAGTGCTCATTTCGGGGGAATAATTAAGGAAGTGTCTTTAATTTTTTAAAAGTTGATAATATTAATTTTCTCTGCTCTTTCTCACCCCGCATGCTTTGCTCCGCCTTGGCTGGACTTGCCCTGTTTCACACATTTACGACCCACCCAAAAGGTTTTAATATTGAATCGTTTATTAGTTATATTTTACATTCGCAATGACAAATGTAAAATAAACTTGGTTTATGATTAACTTGATGATAATTTTAATATTCAATGTTACTTTGTCAAAATTTGATATTCTCTTTTCAAGGATTTTTTCCCCATAATGTGTCCATGAATCCTTCAAAAATTATCATACAATTAATTTAATTTCTCAATTATTTTTGCTATAAATTGCAGCAAAGTACTCAGTTTAGTTTAGTTTCGCTTGTAGTGACAAGGGGTAAGAAAACAAGAAGAATAATACGGTTTTTTTTTATTGCACAGTGTCATGTTTTCATTTTAGCTTTCTCAAAGACTCCAAAGTCAAAACTCAAAAGGACTTGAGGAATTGGCAACTAATAAATATCCAATAAATTTGTTTAAAAATAATGTTCACTTAAATGAAGCCAATAAACAAAGAAATAGGTGAAATTAACAATCAATAAACATATGAAAACAATTTTTTGGAAGTATGACAGCGATGCGGTACTTGCTTCATAGGCTTTCCTTGATCTCTATATATAAATACATCACTTTTTTTATCTCTTTCGATTTGAAATGGGACAAAAGCAATGTTACTAGAGAAAATCAGTGGTGGTGGTTGGTTCTGTTGATATTCTCTTTTTCAATCATCATATAACAAGGAATTCATTACGCTGCTCTGAGATACAACAAACAGATTTAATGATTTTCTCACCTGTTAGTGGTGAGAAAGATAAAATGAGGACTACTTCTGAACAAATATAATATCCGATTTGACAAAAAAATTTTGAATAGAAAAAATCAGTTCACTTTCTGAAGTCAACAGACGAAAGCATGAAAGCCAAAGACAAACGCGATCACCAAGTTTGGCATATCATCCAAATGGCTCACAATCGCAAATCATTCTTGTCATTCCTACGCTGTACTAGTCTCCACCAGTGATATTGCGGATGAAGCAGAACCAAATCACCAGGAAAAAGACAAGAAACAGCACCTTAATTACCACCTCAAATGATTCAGAGCTTTTCACTTGATGACCAATTGGTAAAACGAGGGTGATGATGGTTACATTCACATCAACTGCCTCGATCCTCCTAGACCTGTTGGTGATGAAAAACAGGGTTCACATGCTCTGTTCATAGTTGGATTGGCCTACAAAACCAATATTATATGATATGCAAAGTTAAACAGGTGAAATACATCATATATATGGCATCTACATTTCTTTTCATTCTAAGTTTTATTCTGTACAAGGTTTGTCTCTAATTCCAAGATGTGCATGAATGCAATTCCGACTGATATGATATCGTTAACATTAGTAACGAGCAGAGCAAAAAATCACATGGACCTTAGAAATTGACCAGCTATGAAGAAGACCAAAATACTTATTGTTATACATTGTTCATATCTACATGTATACACAATATTTACTACCAGTCGAGCCATAGCATCACATTCTTGGTAAGAAACCAGAATTTGGAGAGCAGGGGACTAAGGCATACTAAAGGAATTAAAAATCAATTAATCCATTATCTCTACAATTTTTGGTTGCACGTGCCTGTGGATAGAAATTATAGATAGGTGCATATATATGTAGCAGCTTAGATTGGAGATTTTTCTAATGTTTATTTATTATTTTAATGGATGCTGGGCATGAGACCCAAAGACCAGTCACATTGAGAATAAAGAATTCTTTTCATACATAGTTGGAGGCCATAAAGAATTAAAAAAATTGTTGAACTTGGAATTGCATCCTCAAGCGATTCTTTTGTTATCCTTTCGGGCCGTGCGCTCATTTCGGCCTCTCTTGGTTCTCAAAGAGTAAGGCATCGTGGTCAAGTTCCCTATCCTCTGGCGCACACGAGTGCTTCTCCTAACGGAATCACGTGCTGGCTGATGTTGGGACACTTCAGCATTAGGGTGTTGGCTAGTACTGCCGGTAGCAGCACCCATCTCCAGCCTTAATTCCATTTTCTCTTGTATTTCTGATGCGTATATTGGCCAAATTCCGCACCCTTTTATCATGTCATCAGATTTATCCTGATAAAAACCAAAGAAATCTCTGGAGAAGAATTCACATGCAAACTTGTAAGTGGCGCCCTCATCAAATCGCCTTCTTTGGTTTTCGTTCAACATGTGATCCACTGGGTCATACCATAACAAAACATTATCTGTACTCTGATACTTGAGGTGACAAAGTTTGTTGTCACCCCTGTAATAGATCTTTTCATCTTCAAAGTGGAATTTTCTGTCAACTCGTGGTAAAATGTAGGTCGCTGATGCGGAAAGAATACAACAAGAAGCAAAACCTAATAAATGGTTAGAAGAAGTTGGTGCAAGCTCAATACTAATGGACCTCTTAGTGGTATGAGAATATTTGAAGCCCTCTGGGATTGTGCTTCCAGGATAACAAAATCTAACCTCACCAGAGTTATGTATTGCTCGCATCAGTGGGAAAGTGAAGGTCTCCAGTGATTGGCATTCGTTGAGATAACAATAAGCAAGGGAAGGTGGAAGTTCTGGTAAGGACCTAAGCCTCTTGCATTCACCCAAATCAATTTCTCTGAGCTCTGAAAGATGCTTGATGCTATTTGGCAAACTCTTAACGTTGCTTCCACGTAGTGATAGACTCTTCAACAATGACATGGCACTGATATTGTCAGGGATCTCACAAATCACGCAGTACGTCAAATACAGTTCTTCTAAAGAACGCCAGGCATCAAACAGAGTGACTAATTTTGATTTTTCAATTCTTTCTTCAAAACTGAAAAGAACAAATTTCTTTAGAGATGTCAAGCAACTTAGCTCATTTACTTGAAAGCTCCTGAGAGGCCCACTAAGATATAGCTCTTCAAGTTTATTGAACCGTCCAACTGGCAAGTTTAATGTTTCAATACCTACATATTCCAAATGTAAACTTCTCATTTCTTTTGATGACAACAAAAATTCCTCGAGAGCAAAGCAGCCTGTCAGCTTGAGTTCCTTGAGAGATTTCAAATGGTTATCCCCATGAAGATTCTTTAATTTGTTGCACCCCTCTAGATTCAAAGAAACAAGCTTAGGAAGAGACAAGATTGATGGATGAATACTGCATAAACTTTTACAATGTCCGAAGTCCATTATTTCAAGATTTTGTGCTTTGAAAAAACTAGGCAACTCCTTTAACTTCTGCGACCATAAAAGATTTATTATCTTCAAATTCATAAAATCCTGTGACAATTAAAAGAGAAAAATTACCGAAAAAAGCCCTCACAATTCAATTAGACTAAAGAATGAAACGTGCATTAATAAATAGCCATACCTGCACACCATCCCATAGTTTTACAAGATCGCTACAAGGCATTTGGATTTCAACAAGTTTGTTTGCACAGAAACCAAGCGGTAGAGTCTCCAATGGATAATTGTTCCAACAAAAATATCTTAGTTTATTAGGAAGTGACTCTAAACCAAAAGGGAAAAGCACTTGATATTTGCCTTGAAAATTACGATCAATCTTGAGAAATCTTAAATTACTCATTCTACTAAAAGCATCAGCACTCAAGTGTATGTCGCTTTTTAACTCATGTGGATTCAATGCAATGCCTTCAATTATATCAGTTCCCTGGAACATAACAAAATACAAATAATATATTGAACAAGTGGCATGTAAAAATTCTTCAATGAAATAATTTAATGAATGAAAAAGGAAGTTAAAGCATCCTTCATTTACCTTGTTATTTTCCAGTATATCTTGAACTTCTTTTGCATCATTTAATCGATTTCGACTTTCAGGGTGCTCTCTAGATTCCTCACGAACTATTTCTTCAGCCATTTCTTGTAGCATATCATGAATTTCTACTCTACTGCCACGTGAAATAATTATGAGTGCTTTATCTAGAAGCCTATCTATTCCAATGTCCACGTAGAGGTTATGATCACAAGCATCTAGCACCCTCATAATATCTTCTTTCTTTTCTCCCCTGAAGAAGAATGCAATATTTAAAAATAGTTCCTTTTCTGGTATATCAAGTCCATCATAACTCACCCTCAATACAGTCTGAATTTCCCTATTTGGATACTTTCTCAATTTTTTAAGGGCACTCTCCCATGCTTTTGTATTTCTAGAGTTCAAATATGAACCCAAAACTTTTAATGCCAGAGGAAGACCTTTTGCATATTCAATTACCTGCAGTGATAACTTTTCATATCCTTGTTTGGGATGGCCCTGCTTGAAAGCATACCGGCAAAAAAGTTGAAGCGATTTGTCCTTGCTTAATTCTTTCACCTCATGAACTTCATGAACTCCCCCACTAATAAGAACATGCCTGTCTCTACTTGTTATGATGACTTTGCTACTTGCTCCCAATGAAAGATTTTCATCAATAAGATATTGTAATTGACTGGGGGTGTCTACGTCATCAAGCACTAGAAGAACTCTTGTTCGACGTAGCCTCCTTTGAATATTAGGCATTCCGTCGATTTTGAGAATACTTTCATCTTTTAGTAGTATTGAGAGAATTTCTTCAAGCAAACGAGTCAATCCAATCTTTTTCGATTCCTCTCTCACATTTGCTGCGAAGCAAGAACTATCAAACTGTTGGGAAAACTTATCAAATGTGGCATGAGCCAAGGTTGTTTTACCTATCCCTCCCTTACCCCAAATTCCAAGAACTCCAACTTTTTGTGAGTTGTCTTTCATAAATGATTCAATAGTAGCAAAATTTTCCTCAATTCCAATAAGGTGCTTTGGCTCAATTGTGTCTTTACCTTCTAGCTTTTTTGACACATCTTTGATTATTCCATCAATAAGATCAGATTCATTTCTGCCATGATAAAAGAAAGAAATTGTTTAAAAAAAAAATCACACAACACATTTTTAAGAATAATGTAATACGTGTGCCTCGATATAATTATCAATAATACATGTATGGATATAATTATTTTTAATCTTTATGTTGAAAATATATAATTCACAAACTATGAAAAGATTTATCTAATAAACAGAAATAAGAAACAACTTACTGAAAATTTGAGGAATGATGATAACCAGATAAGTTTGCAGTTTCTTTCAAGACAGATCTCCAAAATTGCAACAAGTTGTCTTTAAACTTTTGCTTGTGCTGAGCAAATGAATATGCATAAGATCCTTCTTGATGCCTAACGTGTGATGGGTCTACATTATAGAAAACTGGGATTACAATCTGATTATTGACTCGCTTGCATTCCATGATTTTCTCTAGCTCTTCTAAGCACCACCTTGAAGAAGCATAGTCTGTTGAGAATATCACCAGCGCAATTCTTGATCTTTCTATTGCTTCCGAAAGTGCAGATGATATTTCATCTCCTCTTTCTAACCTCTCGTCCTCATACACATCTATGCCCTTTAGTCGTAACTGCCTTGTCAAATGGCTAAGAAATCCATGTCTAATGTCTGAACCTCTAAAACTAACAAAAACATCATATTTTTCCTGCCGAACTTTGGAAGAAGTCGTAAAAGTTGACATTACTGGACATCAAAAAAAAAACCATAGGGTGTTAATTATTCCTAATAAATTTGATGCTAATCGCTCCCCTCAAGTTTCCGTTTATAACATTCTAATAAACATATAACTGTTTGAATATTATATGTCTACTCCCATGTGAGTTTAATTTGTATCTAGCATGGCGATGGCAAAAAAGAAAAGAAAAGTAGCTAGCATGGGTGGCTTGGATATAATTAAAGCTGGTTTCACATCTAGAACATCATAAAGTGGGAAAAAACCATCAGTAGGTGACAAAAACCATTGTCAACGCCAGAAGAACAGGATAGCTCATTTACAATTGTAATTCAGACCAATAAACAGGAAATAAATGAAATAAAGGCAAGTAACTAGGCGGAGAAAAGTTCTCCTCTAACAAAAAATAGTTGAGCATCTCAGAAGTACCAATACTACTAATTACAATCTGAAATGGGTTGAAGGACTTATTAGCTTAAACAAGTGGATCAGACTTCAAGGAACAAAATCTAAAATCCAGATATGAGCGTCCAGGTGTCATTGAACAGGCCAACATGTGAAGCGAAAGAATCAAAAGAATCAAAAGAAGATCATCATACCTGGATAGATCAAACCTTATTTCTGGCCAACTAAGAGCAAAAGTGAAGTCTGGGTGGACAGCAATGCAGTTTTTAAGCGAAGAATGGAAGAAGGTTTCTGGGAAACTTCCTTATCAATACGAGGAGTCTTCGTTATTAGAAAGCAACTTCAATAATTTCAGATGACAAATTGGCTTATGCGCGTTGCCTCCATTTGCCATGCGCCAAAAAGAAAATAAAAATCAAATAAATATTTGATTTGTTGACTTGATTGCTTTATAGTCAAATGTGATCTTCTCAAACAACAAGCGTGTAATTTAATTAGCTGGTAGTGAGAGACGTGCGCTGGTTTAACCAGAGATTTTATGTCCGTATCCTAGGCATGTAATTTTCTTCGTTTCATATATAATTGACCCTTTTATATATATACACATTTCATATAGAGAGGGGGGACGCATTCTTTTATATATGTTGACAAGAAACAGGACCTACTTTACATAAAGACGACTAAGGGGTTGTTTAGATAGAAACCAAACTGATTTATCCTTAGTCGTATAGGCAATCAAAAATAATAAAGAAATGGGTATGCAGTACACTGATGCAACCTAAGTGTCGAATCACTTGGTCTAATAACTCTCTGAATTTCTAAGTAAAATTAACACAATTTACTTGCAGAACATATAGAAGAAGAACAACATTCAGATTAATACAAAAAGATCTTTGTTGATTTTCAGATGCAATATTAAAATGAGAATGAATGGAAACGCAAACGGTACTCTGGAACTCAAGAAAAACAATCAGAGTGTCAATTCTCCCAAGAGTTTCGCTTTATCTTCATCGCATTATCTAATCTGGAGCTAAGTATCACCGAATATGCAGAAAATTAAACACCATTAACTGAACAGAATTCCTGCTCATATGAATCAATTAATCAAATCACGAATTCTCAAAACACTGAATCAGAATAAGGTTCTGATTAATTTCTCAATTCAGAGTGAAATACCAAATTCTTTGCAACATTCAATCGTACAACATTCACCTCAGTATTTGAAACAGAAAACATCTGAATCTATTCCTAATCACTTTGCAACTCACAAAGCAATGAAGAATTAAAAGAACTAGATGAGTGTGAGACTCCCTCTTAAATTCAGTAGCTCGGATTCAGCTCTGCTCTTGGAGGAATATCTGGAATTAGCTACACATGATGGCGACTTCTCCTCCTTCAAACTTAGATTGTAGCTCTGCCATCAGAATATCAGATTCGGTAATCACCACTAATCCCTCAGTCGACGTTCTGCCAAGATCCGGATGAATCAGCACCCGTGGACGAATGTATCACTCCTCTCTCCGGTCGTTCGGCCCAGATAAAATCATTTTTCTTCTCCAACTTCCTAATCCTCTGCCGTTATTAATCTTGTTGCTGTAACTAATCGCTTTGCTCTCCCCAATTTCTGAACCCTCCCCTCCGTCCGTAATTGGAGTTTTCGGAATTAAGTGTAAGTTTGCGTGGAAACTCTTTTCCATTGGTGATAGAAATCAGTTTCTATCAGTGATGGAATTGGTTTTCCTCTGGACTCCCCTTTCCTTTCTCACTGGAAATGTGTTTCTGCCACTTTATGTTTACAACTCTGCCCCTGAATTCAGAACAATAAACCAGAAGTAATATCCAACTGTGGAATTTCATAAAGCTATTAAAATATCACAATTGCTTAATTCTTTTGCTTAAGTGCATCAGCATTTTATTTATTTATTAGTGCAATTAATGCTCAATCTATTTCTTAAAATAGTCTAAAATCTACATTCCAAACATATGAAAGAATATGATTTATCACAAACTATGATTTTAGAAGTGCTTTTACGGTTTACAAAGTAAATGTGTAGAAGAATTTGCCTCATTTTGCGGAAAAGTAATTCTGAAACCATGGTTTGGAGGTTGCCAAACACCCCAAGGAAGAAGAAGAACGCTCATGTCAGGGGGAAAACCGACATACCTTCAACTGTTAAAAGTTGATAGCATTAATTAGGATTAAGGTACAGTTTTAACAGTAAAATTTTACTTTAAAAGCATCTAACATCATTTAATTTTGAAAAGTGCAAAATTAGACATAATCATTAAAAAAAGAGAGCAATTTAACCACTCCCGTTAAAAGGCAGCAACGCCCGTTTCTTTTCCTCAAAGGGGTTCTCATTACTTGTCACTCTGTTCTCTCTCTTGGTCAGTCTTCTTTCACTTTTGGGGTGTTTGGATAAAACTAAACCATGTTTTAGAGAATAATTTCTGAAAAATAGATTTTGGGAGAATAAATTTTATAAATAATAAATTTTGTAAAAAAGTGATTTTGATAAAATAAAAATATTTGGATAGTTGTTATCAAAAACCCTTTTTATATGTGCAAATTACTAAAAAAAAATAAGTTAATATGATAATTATATAAAAGATAGATTTTATAATATATGTTAATTTGAAGAAATAAATTTGTTAATAATATATTTTTTACCAACATGATTAATAATATATAAGAAAATGTAACTAATAAATAATTAATATATGTATATATATTTATAAAACATAAGATTAAATATGTTTATAGAAAAATGATTATTTTTTTCTCTAACAAAAAATATTAATTTTTTGAAGAACCAAAAGACCGAAGGATGAAGGTTGAAGATATAATTGAATAATTGAAATATGGGGTGTTTTTTGTCATATATAATTGTCTGACAGCTTAATCATCACCAAAAGTTCTCAATTTTTTGGCTAGAAGCGGTTTCATTTTCCTTCTTTGCAAACCATGGTTTCAGGTTTCAAAACCATAATTTTGATCCAAACCATAGTCTTAGATTTTTGGGCCTGTTTGACAATTTTTAAGTCCAAACCATGTGATTGGGGGTCCAGATTCACTTTTTCCTTTTTAGTTTTTGGTATATGTCGGAATGCTCTCTACTCTCTACTCTCTAATGACACATCACTCTTGCAAAAATGTTATCTCTCCTCTTTCCCTCATCACCTCAAATTATTTTAATAATATCACTCTTCAGTTCCTCTCTCTTTTTCTTGACATATTGGAATTAACTCTTGCTTTCTCTCTTGTCCATCCCATTATTATCCCTGCTTCGCTAGAGAGGATTGCCATGGCTACTTTCTCAAGCGATCGCAAAAAAACAGGCCTCTACCATGAAAGTTCATCATCCTCCATAGAGCTCCAAGCATCAACCTTCCTTACCGATGGCCACCCAATTCTCACCCAAGTCCCACCTAACACTGCCACAACCCAAACCAATGATGTTACCAGTATCGATTGATTCATCTGCTTAGACGCCAACCAGCCCAACCACCGCCACGTGGTTCCCATGGGAAAACTCAGTGGGATTACGTTTATGAGCATTTTCAAATTCAAGTTACGGAGCACCCAGTGGGTCAAACTAAAGGAAGCAATGTGAAGAATCATACCCAAATGATGATGCTTGAGAATTATGATCGTCCCTCCGCCCTCCTTCTTCCCCTCAACGAAGGACCTTTTAGAGCTTCTCTGCAACTTAGTCTTGGAGAGTGGCTCCACGCACCTCTCTGGTTCTACCCTTAGAAGTAGCTGTCTATACATCCAGTGGGAGATTATCCATGTCACTCAACCGCTATGAGCTTGTCGAACTCAACCGCTGAAAAACTCTAACTCATTGGTTTGTAGATGCAAGATGCTTGGTTGCTGAAGAGCAATAGAGAAAGAAAGATGAGAGGCAAAGGTAGATAAGAGGAGACGAGAGACTAGAATTGAATGTGTTAATAGGAGAGAGAGTTTGAGAATCTAAAGAAGGGTGAACAAGACATCCGTCAACTGGAGAGCAAGTTTGAGGAAAAAATAACAGAGAGGAAAATGACAATGAGGAGAGAGAAGAAATGAGTGAAAAGAGTGGGACCCATCTTAAGAAAAACAAACGTCATTTGTTGCTTTTTAACGGAAGTGGTGAAATTGCTCTTTTTTTTTTTTAATGATTATGTCTAATTTTGTACTCTTCAAAACTAAATGGTGCCATATGCTTTTAACGTAAAATTTAATTGTTAAAATTACATCTTAATCCTATTAATTAAAAATAACTTTTTAGTGAGGATGGTCTGCTTCCTTTGACAATTTGAATGCATAAAAATGATTTCCCTGTTTCATACTCATTATCAAAAAATAGTTAAAATTAATTAGTTCATTAATTTATGATATTGGTGTTGGAGGAGGATGTTGCTTTCCACTAGGAGTGCTCAATTATGTCCCGTCTCAGTGTCATAAAATTTCGGGGGACAGGATGGGACACAGGATAGGGGTATCATGTCCCAATCCCATTCTAATATATTATCTTTCTTTTTAATTGTTATAAATTTATTTATTTATCATTGTAATAGTATTTTGGTAATGATATTTATCAATTTTTATTTATTTATTT